GATGGCTACAATAGTCTAGATAGGAATTCAGTTCGTTATTATCTACTATTCCGAGCCCGTGACAGGCCCTCACAATTAGCTTTCACTGTTAGGGCCGTTCATTTCTAATATCTGAGCATTAAATTCAAGACATTCTTCATTCACTAAATATTCCCTCCAAATAAAACAGGCCAATTGACATGAACATGCTATCCAATGCATGCAACTCAAATGCCCTCAAATAGCCTTATATTCAATAGTCGCGTCTGGTTGCCTCAATAGCCTCAGGAATATTTAGTTCGGACAACTTGTAACGGGTACATGATAAGTGATACAAGACATAACCTTGAATGAATTTTTCAATATGTTCCAGTAGAAGCTCGTCTTCAGCAAAAATGTTTCGAAGTTTCTGTATCACTTCCACGGTTTCCGTCTTAATCTGGCGTAACGACTGAAGTGAGGTGATATTATGAAGCTTGGAATGGCTATGCAGAAAGCTTGGAGAGTCCCCATTTTTTATCTCCTCTTTGTAAAACGAGAGAATGTCGTTGACATGTCCCAAGAATAACATAATACTCGGCACCGCGGAGATGTATTTCTCCAAGTCTGTTGCCTCTGGATGTGTATCTTCGGGAAAACAAAAGAAAGCAAACGGCTCAGCAACACCGGTTTTGGCTCGAAAAAAAAAGAGGTAATCGGAGGCATCTCTTGTCAAGCGGAGACTCTCAGTCTGATATTTCTCAATATTCGCTGATGAGATAAATTCCAAAGTCCCTTTGATAATCATGTCACCACCAAAGGACCCAAAGAAATTATGTTGCTCGCTTAGGTGACTTGTAAGACCACGAAGTAAAGTGTGCTGATGTGGTTGGCCGAGTGTCAACTTGGTTGTGTATATCTGTAGGTCTTTCGACAGCCCACTGGTAAGGTCGTCGATGCTGATAACATATGAGGCGTATGTAGCGATAGCCTCTTGAATAGGAGGGGAGGCGAATGAATATGTACAACTTGTTATTTTGACACCCGTCTCAATGCTGACCTGGATCTGTTCAATGACTGCCGCAGAGACACCTTGAGATTTTAAACGGTTCCTAACCTGCCTCTTCAACTCAAGATTGCAGCTCAGAACTGGAATTTTGAAGGAGATCTCTTGAAGGAAGCTGTTAATAATGTCTTCGTATTCTTTTTTTGTCAACTGGCAATCTGGGACTAGCTTGCTTGAACTAGCACTTGTATTCCTTTGGGATGCATGCCAATATTTGACCAGGGCAAACACAATTATCAGAATTATCAGTAGCATATTTGGGTTAGTGAAAATAACCTTAAACATCCACGCATTACTGGAAACCAGAGAACCCAAGTTAAATGGCATGCTTGGTACTGCGAGTGACTGTTCAATGCAAGAGCAAAGTCAGAGACACTGAGTTTTACCAAGGGAGGTCTCATACCATGACTATTGTATATTTGGAAATGTTGCTTTTGTTCTCAGAAATGAAATTCAAGAGGCCTTTCACACTGGAAACAAAGATGAAATGATACAGGAATTTATCTCTTCCTGCAGGAAGATTGGTAAACTGCTGTGATTCTATACACAGAAAATTGAATATGCTATCTATAAGAATACACCAGGAGATCAGAAGAGTAGAGTCCTTATACAGAGCACCCATTCACCTTTTCCAATCACGGGGATCCAGTAACAAGTGATCCTTCAATGACATGACATAACTTTGGCAATCGTGGCTGGCTGAAGTGCACAGGCATCAGGTGAGGGCAGCCATCTAGACCTGGCACTTGGGTACAGACTTCGTACCCAATACGCAACTGTCTTCAAGGCTTGTACCAAAGTTAATAAAATACAATGTATTTAGATTACATACAGACTACTAATATAGTAAATTATGCGTGATTCCTGTGTGACGACTCATATATGACAACTCAACACTGCAGCAATGAATGATACATCACAAATGCTGCTACTCAGCCATGTCGCCAACAACCTCTATAAAACCCCTTTATTACCTAGATAGATTTTCTCCTCTCTTTTCTTCTCCAGATTCGATATTCTCGT